GCCTCGCAGACATCGATCGAGACTCACTCTCGTCCGGCGCTCTCGGCTTTTCCGGTTTTCGTCATTTTATCATTTATCCCACGCGTCCATGCGCACCACATGGTGATGAACACGATTCCTCTCCGCTGTGATAGTCGCGCGCGCGCGCGCGCGCGCGACGTGTCTTGGGAAATTTCGGAGTCTGAATATCTATGACACCATGTAGCGAGTGCTGGCTACTCCAACCCTCACCTCGGCCCCCCTCAACCCAGCTAGTGATATAGTCAATCTATCCGTCTACAGGGTGCCTCTTCTTCTTTGCCTATCACGCGAGGACTGTCCGAGCGGAAAGGAGGAAGGCCGACCTAACGTGTCGTACGTCACGGCGGGTGTGAACCGAATAATTGTGCGATCTTAACGTCGGGCACCCTGTAGATTGACCTACGGCCCATAATAATACAGCTGCCCCCGTTTCCATACGACGTTTCTACTAATAGTCCCTTAATGAGAGTCGACTCGCGTGCCGTTCGCAAAGCGAGTTTACTTTGGCAATTGACGGGAGAACCTCGCGCTGATTCCCCCTCGCGAGCAGAGAAGAGCTGATTGATTGTCGCCATTAACGCGATGGATTCTGCGTGGTAAGAAGGAAACGTTCGGGTTGTCATTCCGTCGGCGACGACGATCAGTATCGCCCTGCGACAAGAGATTCCGAAAGAAGGAAACGCTGGCTATGTATGCGTGCGTGTGTGTGTGTGTGTGTGTGTGTGTGTGTGTGTGTGTGTATGGATGGGTGTGATGCGTGTGGGTGTGGGCACGCAAGATCACGATGAAATCAATGACGACGATCCTCATCCACGTTTGTTCACCGGTACGACTCGACGTCGACAAGAATTTCAGGATGACCCGGCGCGGCGACGTGTGGTTTTCATGTGGTTCGCGAAAGTGTCGACGAGGGAATGTGCTAAGAAACGGCTGGCGAGCGGAAAATTAGCAACCTGGCGCGATTGGTGGGTGCTCCGACGTTGCGACTCGCGGAGGATAAAAGAGCTCGGAAGCCGAGCAAACATTTTGTGAGACTTTTCAGGTACGCTTAGACGATATCGTGCCGGAAGTACGACTGCGGCACCGGAAAGGTGCGCACGGTCCTCGCTTCCACCTCGCGGCACTACAATATAACGCTACGTCTCTCGTGGCATTCAGCAAGAACCGAGGAGATGCAAAACGAGAGGTTGTGTCCAGAACGTAACAAGTATCGGCGTAAATTGGCTAAAACTACCGACGCAGGACGCTTGAAAGCGTAACAATCGAGACGCGAGTCTGGCCGGAAAAAATGATCCGAATGAAAGAGCGAAACGTCTCTTTCTCTCTTGCTTGCTTAAATGTCAAATCAATGCGCAGTCAACGAAAGGGCGTCGATTAAAACGAACAGGATCAATCCGTCGAGCAAGGCACCAAAAGAAAAAGAAAAAAAAAGAAAAAAAAAACAGGAAAGAACTATATCGCGCGCTAAAGAGTTTCGTGTGCTTGCGTTGCAATCGTGCAGGTGTGTGTTGAGTTTTCATATGTGTACGTGTGTATGTATGGGTATATCAATTACTTACGAGCGTGTTCTCGTTATGCCCCTCGTGATAGGCGATTTTGCGGTCGGTCAGTGTGCTCGGAACGTGTCACGTTAGAATGTATAAATGCAGTCGAAGTAAATAACGTAGTATCAGAGGTCCGAAAGACAGATCTTAGATGCAAAGACTGGCCCCTTCGCTCATGCCGGCTACTCGCTACGTCTCTAAACAACTAGCTGATTGGTCGGTACTCGATCGGCCGAGCGAGACGCCGATTCAGGCCCGCCGATGAAGGGAAAAAACGTGGCGACATTTTACGTGCGCGACAGCAGGACCTGAGAATCGGCGTTCGCGCGATCGAACATGGATATCCCGCTCGCACGGCTCACCAAGAGATCCCATTCTACAGTTTTTCTTTTTGCTTTTCTTTTTCTTCTTCTAACAGCTAGCCTACTTTGGCACAAACAACACATACTCTCTCCCTGTCTTTTATCTGCTCCTACCCAGGCCGGCATTCGCTTTTGTTTCACAGTTTCGTCACTTCTCCCCTGCCTCCTCGTGCGGTTTGCTGCGCGAATACGACTTGGAAACTTCCCTTCCCTCCCAATCCTCATTCATTCCCATCCCTAAATATAGAGTTTATCCGTTACGTCGCGCAACGCTACTCTTCCTTCCACGCCGCTCTACCTTTCTCTCCCTCTCTGTCTCGCACTCGCTCACAATTATTCTTTATCCCTTTCGTTCTCTCTTTCTCTCTCTCTCTCTTTCTCTGTCGCTCGCTCACGCTCATTTACGCCTTAACAACAATCTTCCACGCGCGCTTCTCTTGTATTCTTCGTCCGTCTCTACGCGATCAGTTACATTATATCAGTAAAATTTAATTGACTCCAACAGAACGTCGATCAGACAGAAATACGCGGACTTGGCCGGAACGCGCGCGCGCGCGCGCGCATGCCTCCCGTCAAAAACGACAGTGGTCCTCGACGGGGACGGGGGAGATCGAGGATTCCCGTCGCCGATGAAGAACGACGGGGAATCCCCGTGACCGCGGCACCCGGCCGAAACTCCGCCACGCGCGGCTTCTCGGCGAGGACCTCCCGAGCTCCTCGAGGATCGTTCCTACCGAATTTCTCATATTGTTTCCGCATCCGTTTCTACTTATTTTCCGTTGATACATTTCTATGGACCTAGCTAATCAGAAGAGAATTCGAGTTCGCGCCGTTTTCACGCGTGTCCTCGAGTTAACGGGGCCTCACGTCGATGGGCCAAGACGATCGCTGCTGCCTCCTCCTCGCGTTCGCTCCGAACGGCCCCTCGGGATGGCCCGTTCGAGATATTTTTTTAGATTTTCGATGCTTACTTTCGCGTTCTACTCATTCTTTACGCGTACTCCCTCCTCCTTTCACAACCGTCGACTACCGAAGGAATGCTTTGATATCAGGAACTCTCAGTAGATGAAGGCTCGCGTCGCGCGTTGGACGCGTCGATAGGACGCTCGAGGAGAAGAGCCCCTCTCCTCCGCTGCGCATCGGTATCGTCCGTCGCGCGCGCGCGCGCGCGCCATCCTCAAGGCGACCCGAGTAGTACCCGCCGATCCGCCTCAAATAACACTCTCTGCGCGCGCTCTTCGCACGTAGCAAACTTTTTAATTAGCGATATGTTTAACACAGCAGCGCCTTTCCGTCTAGTTTCGATTACTTGTCTCGTCGCTTACTATATGATTAAGATCCTAACACATGCCTAAGCACCTATTCTAACTAAGAAATCTGCGAGTTGTACCTATGCATCTGTGTGTGTTTTTGTGTACGCATGTATATGTGTATATATGTATATATAAATCAGAGGGGGCGGTCGATATCATTTATCACGCGCGCGGCATTATGTACGCGATTGTATGCGTCGTGTGTATGTGTGTGTGTGTGTGTGTGTGTGTGTGTGTGTGTGTGTGTGTGTGTGTGTGTGTGTGTGTGTGTGCGTGTGTGTGTATGCATGTGTAACTGCGTAACCGTACGGCCTAGTAAAGACGCGGATACGTGTGCGGGTGCAATAATACTTATCTCCAAACTGAAACGTACAAATTATAAAAATGCCACCTGCGACGACCGTACGACAAACGCGCGCAGTCGTGCCTACCGCGTGGGCTAGCGCGGGGGACTTGGTTGTCACGGCCGAATGATCGGGCCCGACTCGACCCCTTCTAGAAGCGTTCGACTTCGCCGATCGACTTGGTCGAGAATACTGAAGGTACCTTCGAGAACGAGGAAGAGCTCAGTCCCGAAGAGAAGCATTAACGTAGGTCGAGCGCGGGCCGGACGCACTCGGCGCGGTTTTCCGATAGAATGTCCTTCAGCACGCAACGAACGACTTTGATAATTGCTTCGCTTCCGCCTCGCGAACGGATCGACCTCTTGTGAAGCAATGGGATCAGACTGAAAAGGGGAGCTTGGAAGCTTCATCCACTTCATACACACGACGCTTCATCGTCCATACTTTATCTATTTGCGAATGATGTCGAGGACGATCGGTTCGCCGGCGGAGTAGACCTCGCGAAAGCTGCAGCAAGGGTCCCGTGACATTGGCCGTTTTGTCTTACTTAAGAACGCTCGATTTTTAGAAATAAAGCGTATATACCTGAGCGGTATTCGATGCTCGCGCGCGCTCGTCGTCGTCGTCGGCCGTGCTGCCGCGGGTAGAGAGAGTGTGTCATGTCGTCGGAATTGAAGATTGTCTCGCGCGGGCGTCGCCGCTGCTTCTCGAGAGTATCTCTGGATGCCACGCGTCGCGCACGACCGTGTACGACGAGCGAGACGATTACCGAGTACCCTGAACGTGCATACTATACTTAATTTTTTGTTTCGCTCTTCTCTTTCTCTTCCCCCCTTCCCGTTCCTTCCCCTCTTCCTGATTTTCCCTCTTTTCACTGTTTTATTGTGCTGACTCCGTTCCTCGTCGCTTGCTTACTCGCTCGCTCGTTCGCTCGCACGCGCCAGCTCGTCGAACCACACGTTGACGACGGAGACCTGGTTCCGAAACTGATATACACGGGCGCACCGTTCGCGTGCCCGCGGAAACGGCGCACCCTTGTGTCCATGCAACTTGAAAAAATCCTTAACCATAATCAGTGTGGCGATCGACGCCGCGGCCACAGTCTGGCGACCGGGACCCGTGCGATCGTGAATTTTACATGTACAATTAATGTAGCTTATCTTCCCTAGCGTAAACTCTGTACAAGAGTCGAGGACTGTCTGTCAGATGTGTGCCGCGCTTCCTCGCTCTCATCTAATCCTAAATATCTTTTTCTTCTTCCCTGCTTCCACGTACGCTCTTTAGTCCGGATACACCAACACTCGGCGTGTAGCCAGAGTTTCTCTTCCTTTCACACCACACCTTTTTCTCTTTTTTTTTTTTTACTACCTATCTCTTTCTTGCTTTCTTTCTCTCTCTCTCTCTCTCTCTCTCTCTCTCTCTCTCTCTCTCTCTCTCTCTCTCTCTCTATCTATCTCTCTTTTCCTACATCTTCTCCCTCTTTGCGATCGCGACGGTCCTGGCTTTCATAAAAGTGTTCGATCGCACTCCCACATCGCGATCGTCGTCACCCCGAAAACATTTCTCTTTTATCTGAAATTACGAAATCATCGCGCACCACACTCGAAAGCCAGCACCGGAAGTGCTATGAAGAAGGCCGTCGCGGACGTCGTCGGCTTTTTGCCGTTTAGCTTCAGCGCTTGCAGCCCTAGTATTATATGTAGGAGATGTAGTAATATGTGTGTATATATACACATATATATATGTATATATATATACGTATATATGTATATATATATATATACGTATATATGTGTATATATATATATATATATTTCTCTTTTAACACCCTAGCAACCCTCGAATCAACAGAATCAACCGGATGCGGGGACACATTCGTGCCGTAAATACGTCCCAACAAGGACAAGGCCTCGAAAGCATCCTAAGCTCGCTCGGAGGAGGTAGCTCCTGTCCTCTTGTGCTGCTTCAGAGTCCGAGTGTGTGATAGAGTCCCGTATGGAGGTTGCGGCACAATGTAGCCGACAAACGACCAGTGCGTTGCAATTTTCACTGGAACGGACGAGCACCTGAGCGGATCCAACTGCGGGACCATCAGTCGTAGACCGAAGCGGGTGACCAAAGGGGGACTAGGGCGTAGGGCTGGTACCACTGCTGCTCGTGTGGTGGCGATTCTTGTTAGATGTTGCTCTTAGAGAATGACACCCTGAGGTGATTGGACTCGCTGAGCTGGTAGTTGTGCATTTTCTGCAAAAACAAAGAAGAACAAAAAACACCCCCGGAGTTTGTTGCTTTTTGATTCGAAGTGATTGAACAGTCGCGACGCTCGACCGAGATAAACTGGCCAGCCAAATTCGTCGGATTATGTATCGAATTTCTCTCTCTCTCTCTCCCTCTCTCTCTCTCTCTCTCTCTCTCTCTCTCTCTCTCTCTCTTTCTTTCTCCTTCTGTCTCGTCTGCTTTTTTTGCCATTTTTCAAAAATTTTGCACACGACGACGACGTCTCGGTGCCAGGCGAGGGGTTTTATTTCCAGTCACGCGGGATTATCGCTCGACGCTTCGGCGGTAACGAGTTAATTGCGAAAGCTACTTACGATCAGCGCAGCCACGGCGTCGTCCATGTTAGGCATCTGTATGAGAGCCATCTTCCTGTCCTTCGGGAAGAACTTGAAGGCTTTCACAGTGAAGCCGTTCTTGGTGAAAGCATCCTTGATCTCTTCCTCAGCTACCGTGGCTCTGCAAGGATAAATTGAATGCCGTTAAGCCGCCGAGAGAAAAATTCGTCGACACGAATATGAGATCCTCTCCCCCCCCTCTCTCTCTCGACGACTGCAGCTTCTCGCAAATGAATAACAATACTAAGCAAGACTTTCGTCGAATAGAAAATCATTTCAAGTGTTTTTTAATATATACTTTGAAGACGAGAGAGTTCTCCCACGCATAATTTCTCGATCATCATCATCGAGCAATGCGAGAGTATTACTACGATGAACACGATCGTCGAGTCACTTACGGAATGTTCGATAAATGCAGGGTCGCGCTTGGTGGATAGATGTTCTGGTAATTTTTCGAGCCGGGTTTCTTGAATCGGTGTAGTGTGCTGTTGGTGTAATCCTTCGTCAGGCCCGCGTCCGGCTGTCCTTCCTTTGGCAATTGGACAGTTTGGTGTTTGCTGAGCATCACTTTGATTTGCTTCCCAAACACTCTCAACTTGTCCATATGGGTCAGCGCTGTCGTGTGAATTAAACGTACGATGTTCACTAATGATTCACGAAAAGTTCTACACGCACATTCGTGCCGTGACGTGCAGAGTCACGTTGCGACCATCTAATCTTTAAGAGAAAAATTTCCGTATCTTCGTCTCGCGACGGAAGAGGAATGTCTCCTTTCTTCCGCGAAATAATTTTCTCTCGGGATTACCGTAACAATCAGAATTATCTGCGGAAACACGACCTCGAGCCATCGCAAGTGTCGGGTCTCACGCAATGTACTTACCTAGAAGCGCCTGATGAGGTTCGGCCATCTGTATTAGTGCCGAGTCCTTCTTGTTGTAGAGAATCTTCACACGTTGTACATCCCCATAAACGCCTATATGCACAATACACGCAAATTGCTCCTTTAGTAAACTCGAGCGCGGCCGTGACACACGGCATATTTCTTTCATTAAAGAGGCTGCGCGTTTAAGGATTATTGTCGAAGATGAACGAGACAGTATTCGGTCGATCGAGATCGGGGTACGATCGGATCTAAGATTCGGGACATGCAAGAGGCGAGCGGCTCGGCGCTGGAGATTTCATTTTACAGAAGACCTCGGTAACCACGTTCATTCTACCGTCATCAAAACCATCATGTCAACCATTACCGTGTTGTAACCGACAATTTTTCTTTGTCTTTTAGAAATAAAAAAATTAATCCAAGTAAAATTTCGCTTCAATTCTATATGAATCACGCTCCGCTAAGAGATAAAAAGTAGGAGCAATTATCGAGTAATTTAGTTTCAATTCTTTACAAAACGATAATTGAGTATACGATGCTAACACGTCGAAATTCTTTGTTTATTGACGATTCGTAAATTTTTGTTGGCGAAAGGTCGGAAAAACGGCTCTCTCTCCCTCCCTCTCTCTCTTCTCTCTCTTCTCTCCCTTCCCTCCTCTCTCTCTTCTCTCTCTCCTCTCTCTCTCTCTCTCTCTCTCTCTCTCTCTCTCTCTCTCTCTCTCTCTCTCTCTCTCTCTCTCTCTCTCTCTCTGATACAGTACGCGACTCTCACGTTCATCGCGTAATTAATTAATCGTTTCTAGAAAAACACGCCGCCAGCCTCGAGTCGCGCGCCTCGTTAATAGTGAGTTCCTATGGAATTACGTAAATTAAGCAAAAGCTGACGTAATATTAAGGTTGTCTGTGAAACTGATATTAATAAAATATTAATGAAATAATTTAGAAGAGATGCTTGGAAATAGAGAACGTGAGAGAGATCACGTGTCGGTGATGGCCGATAATGACGATATGGCGGTATGATGTATGGCGGTGACGGTGATGATGAATTGCGAATGGAATATAGCTTGTAGTAATAAAATAAGTTGAAATCACGAAAATATCGGAAGAATACGGATTAAACGTTAAATCAGAATACGACAGACTTGGAGAAAAAACGTACGGTGGATGTTATACGAGAGTAAAATATGACGAGAGAGAAAGAGAGAGAGAGAGAGAAAGAGAGAGAGAGAGAGAGAGAGAGAGAGAGAGAGAGAGAGAGAGAGAGGGAGGGAGGGAGAGAGAAAGAGTGTGTGTGAGAGAGAGAAAGAGAAAAGAGAGAGAAAGAGAGAGAGAGTGATAATGATCAAGTTTTTATAAGTTTTGCCAAAAGATAAAAAAAAAGAGAAAAAACAAAAAAATAAAATAAAAAATGAAACAAGACAAAAAATAAAAGGAAAAGAAGGAAACCTCTCCTATTCGGTATGACGTAAGTCTCGAAAGTGACGATCATGTGTGAGAAAAATTCTACGTCCGTGTTTGTGTACATGTATGTGTAGATCTGTATATATCGCGTGTCTTGCTCGAATATTCGCGAGTGGCCGGAAAAAGATCAAAGCTTCCTTCCGGACGAATATCTTCCCGTAACTTCTTTATTCTTTCTTTTCTCGTTCCGCTACTTTTTTTCCGTTATATCTCTTGTTTTTCTAAATTGCGCGTGAGTGCGATCATCTAAATGTGCGTACCGTGATATCGCGTGTTCCGGCATAGTCGAATGTGTGACGTGTACATGTATGTGTGTGTCACGCGCGTGTACGTATGCGTGAGAGCGCGAGGGTGTAAATATAATAATTAATAATGTAATATAATTAATAATATAAATGTGGAGACGTACCAAACAGGGTAAAGAGAGCGTCAGGCGTGACCATCTACACAGAGAACAGACAGAGTCCAGTCAGTAGTCAGCGAGTATAATAGGATTCAATGTATAGTGTTAGCGTGCGCACGAGATTCGCGTTTTTGTTTTCCGTCTCATCCGAACAGCTTCGATAATTCTTCATTGCAGCGACAACCGATTTCGCGAATTGAAGCGAAAGATAGCCGGACCGACCGGAAAAAATCGATTCTTATTCTTCAACAGCCTCCCTCCCCCCTGCTGATTTCATTCACACGGTCGCGTTCATTCTTCAAGAAATTCGCATGAAATCACGGAGACATGTCGGCGTAGCGACAAAAAAAAGCCACTTCGCATCGCGAGCCAAGGAAACGATACAGAGCGCAGTGGTAGAGCCGAGAGAGGAAAAGAAAGAAAGAGCGAGAGCGAGAGAGAGAGAGAGAGAGAGAGAGAGAGACAGAGAGAGAGAGAGAGAGAGAGAGAGAGAGAGAGAGAGAGAGAGAGAGAGAGGAGAGAGAGAGAGAGAGAGAGAGAGAGAGAGAGAGAGAGAGAGAGAGAGAGAGAGAGAGAGAGAGAGAGGAGAGAGAGAGAGAGAGAGAGAGAGAGAGAGAGAGAGAGAGAGAGAGAGAGAGAGAGAGAGAGAGAGAGAGAGAGAGAGAGAGAGAGAGAGAGAGAGAGAGAGAGAGAGAGAGAGAGAGAGAGAGAGAGAGAGAGACAGACAGACAGACAGACAGACAGAGAGAGAGAGAGAGAGAGAGAGAAAGAAAGAGAGATCATCGAAGCTCGTGCGCAACGCAACGATAGTAGTACACACAGTTATAGTACAGTAGTGACAAGTTGCAGCTGCGAAGTGTGACGTCGACACACAGTTTCTTGTCGAGGTGACGTTTATCATCCCACTGATGCTTCCCGCTCGATTATGTTGATCGCTTCTAACGTCGGGTAATAGCGCCGCGTATAAATGTACCTCGCGGGAAAATGCGCGGGGTGGTGTGTGTCTCGCCGCGAAATGAATGCAAATGGATGTCGAAAGCGCGCGCGAGAATCGCGCGCGTCGCGCTAATTGTCGCAAGTCACGGCAGCCCGGCTCAGGAAATTTAGAGCAAAGCGTTACGTGAGCAAAGCGCGATAAACGTCACCTCGCAGAAAGTAACGTCGTATAGTCGACGACGCTACGATTAATTAGGGCGCGGGATGGTGACGTTGGAGTGATCTGTATGTGTGTTTCGAAAATGAGCGGCGGCGGAGGGGGCGGGGGGGGGGGGCGGTGGCAGAGATAAGGCCAGAATCAAAGGTCTCGCGTGACGAAACAGGGCGCATACGCATTGCGGCTCGATCTTTCCATCACCCTACCGAGAGCAGGGGTGATCTCGGAAGATCGTCGTTCTCGAGGCAGATGGGAAATCGGGAGGATCGGTCGAGACGAGCGCGAAAACGCGAGCGTCGATTCTTACCTCGATCTATCCGCGCGACACATTCTCGCCCGTCTCGTCCGTGATAACTTGTCTATTTTTCTCGCCGTTGCGAATAATGCCTCGAATTTCGCGACTTTTGCGACCATTTGCACCGGTCCGTCGTTAATAGTTAAGATTCGTCGGGGGATTGTGACGGGGGAGACACGTCGATTAATCTGCCCCACCTGCCGCGAGCCGATGCACTCCATGACGTGCACCACCCGAGATCGCTCTCCGACGAAGAAGCTCGAGAGCGGAAAGACCGAGCCGAAGGATCGGAAGACTGCGGGGATCGCCTACGTAGCACTACGTTGTAACTCGTTCGTTAGGCCGTATAATACGTGTATATATACCGTACGTGCGTATATACCGGGGCAAAGTTGGAGGAGGGGAGCGGTTGGACGACGCCGCAGTGTGTCGCACACTGAGAGAAATAGCGTGCGGTCGAAGTACGAGGGAAGTGGAAGGAGAACGGGGGTTGAGCGACGAGAGTACGAGAGCCCGTGACGGGCAACGAAAATAAATGCTATAGAGAGGGGGAGAAGTGAGAGAAGGTGTAGAGAGACGGAGAAAGAGACAGAGATATACAGAGAAAGGGAGCGAGATGAAGAAGAAGAAGAGAGTGGTGGTCGCGCACGTGTGTGTGTGTGTGTGTGTGTGTGTCGCGTCGGGCAAAAGGCGGTTATGTTCTCGCGACAGAAGATATGGAGAACCAGGGACTTGCACGCACACACACACATACACACACACACACACACACCCACCCACTGCATAGAGACACGACAGATGCCACACTACAGGTATTATTCGCATACGACACACTTATTCGCACGTGGCGACGGCGCGGCGCCGGCGATGATCTACTTCTCTCAGTGCTGCGCCGCGGCGTACCCCGGAGATGACACGCGCGCGCGCGCGCGCGCGTGGGTATGTCGCGTGCGTACGTGCGTGCGCGCGTGGGCCATTTAACGCTTCGTTTACGCTCGCGAAACGCACACGGAAGTGCGCGCGCATTGTGCTTCTCACTGTGTTTGCCCCGCGCGCGCTTGCTTTTGCGTTCAAGCCGGGGGCTCTGGGGAGTGGTGGACGGACGGACAAGCGGGCGCGAGCGAACCCCTTCTTGGAAAATCCATCAATCGCCGAAGATTTTTATTCTTTAATTTTCTGTCTGATCGCCGGCGATACTCTACTCCATTATGTATGCGGGTTTTGTTTCCCGCTGATGAAAATTGTCGTCGTTAATTGCAGACGAACGAGAAATCAGCGAGTCCGGGTCACAACGCCGTCGCCGTTAATCTGATGAGTGGCCGTTAATGAAGAATCGAGAAGATTACCGCGCGACGCGGGGGGGAAGGTTCGTGAAAGAGACACGAGAGAGACGAGTATTTCCGATCGAAACGAAGAATCGTTAAACGGCCACGACGGCGCGCGCGCGCGCGCGCGCTTCCGATTGACGGAAAAGCGCACGAAGAAAAATCCCGCGGCTGCGGAGCGGCCAGCAGCTTTCAGCGGCACGAGCTCGCGCGCCGCACTGTCCGTAAACACACACTTCGCTAACGAAGCACAACTATTTACTGTAACCGGCGGATCGCTGCAAATTATACACGCCTATCTCCGTAATTACGCTATTTCCGCCTTCACCGCGGCGGTGAACCTGGTAGCCGCGCGGTTTCACCCGCGGATTACCCTTGGATCGTCCTCTCCCATTTTCCTCTTCTCCTTCCAACGGCCACTCGCTCGACCCGTCTCATCTTTTGTCTCCGGCACTCTTCAGTGTCTCCCGATCACGCCGGATCGAGCACTCGGGGAGCGAGCGGAAGGCCGCGGTTAAACGGCGTCGTGCGCGAGCCCGTCCCGCACTTTTCTTCGTGTACGCCTCGCCGAAGGTCCTCGTACGGCCTCTCGTCCTTAATGTCGAGGTAGCAGCGCGTCGAAGGCCTCGTAAGTCGGGCCACTTACCTCTTCGTTGAGATTGCTGACCAACAGTACCGCCGATGCTTGTCCGCTGCTCTGCACTCGTACTCCGAGACCAGCCGCGCCGATGGGGAAGCCGCTAAGTCCGGCGAGTCCTCCTGCGGGAGGTACGCCGTTATAAGGACCGGCCAAGGGAGACGGAAGGCCGTGCATAGCCGCGAAGGGTGTGGGCAGCACACTCGGTGCCCCTGCAATGGACTCTACTTCAGGAAATTCAAATGAGATTATTATCACTCTTGATCGTACACTGCTCGAGGGGGGCGGGCGGGGGCGGCTTTGCGTCTTCCAAATTATCCGACGAGACTAGAGTTTCCGCTGTACGACACAGGTTACTCCCGGATGCGATGTTGATAAAAAGTTAACTAATGGAATATTAGAAGCGGCAAAAAACACACGAGCACACAGGTCTCTCTTAATAAGCATGCGACCGTCTCTCTCGGCGATACTCAGCTACGTTGTTTGCTGCTCCAGCTGATCGATCTATTTGTGCTCGTATTCATCGAGCCGCACACGTTCGACTCACACGTCACCTCATATCGTCGACTCAAGAGCCATGAGAGAATCCCCGAAATCGCAGCCGGCGGCCGATCGGACGACGATCTTCCGCCGTCTTCCGCCAACTTCGGCGTTCGAAAATCTAAAACGGCCGACCTCGTCGCGCCATCGCGGCTGAGGCAGTCTCTCGATCGGCAGTCATCAACCGGACTGTTTGCTCAACGAGATAGGACGTAAAATGGATTACAAGCGTTACAGATTAAACACCAACAACGCCGTGAAATTAATTTAACCCAAGCAAGAGCCGGCGGAGCGTGTAATTTAAACTAGCGTTGTCGCCGGCACAACGCGCAACAAAAATCCAGACGATTCGTCGACGGTCGCGCGCGCGGCCGGCCGGCCGGCCGGCGGATCGCTTCCCCAGCATTTTGTAATTAATTAATTTACCCGAGGAAATAATAACGTCCGACCGGCACGTGACCGTCCTGCCGGCCGAGAGTCCGAAACGTACGCGCGCGCGGCAAATTGTCGGCCAGCCCGTTTCACGGAATAATAATAATAATAATAACTCAGCGCGACGTACACGAGAGTGACAGAAAATCGGTACCGCTATTAATGTAATTAATTCCAATAAATATAACGTCGCGCAATCGCATCGCTAATTGTTCGATCGAGTTTCCAATTGTTTTCTCTCACGGCGCACCCAGGGAAAAAGAAAGAGAGAGAGAGAGAGAGAGAGAGAGAGAGAGAGAGAGCTTTCGCCCGGCGAAAAATACAAAGCCGACGGGGTGCGACGGGCGAGGCGATCGAAACCGCGCTCTTTATTTGTATGTTTCTCCGTTTCTCCCTCCCCTCCCTCCCTCCCTCTCTCTCGTTCGCTTCCGCGCGTCCAATCTCGTCGTTGCAATCTCTGACTGACGTCTAACTACAATGAATCTCGAGAGTGCCCGTTGCGAAGTATCGCGTTGTAACGGCTATTACCGAGGTCGTTACATCGATCCGAAATTAACGCATTCGCTATTTATACGCCGCGTTCGACCCCGCACCCTCATACACACATACACACACACGCGCGGCCGCGATCAGCGCGATTTATCCGATAGGTCAAAACGCGAACGCCTGCGAGGTCGCGACTAGTGCGCGCGCGAATAATCGCGCGATTGGCTCTTGTGTCAACGATTAACGTCAACGATTAGCGCGGCTGTTGCCAGATTATCGGGAGGTTGCAGCGCGATAAATTTCCGCGACTCAACGACGTGTAAGAAGTCGATCGGTGCGCGCTCTTTGCGTACGGCACGGCGGGGGTTAACTCGTACTCGCTCGTGCGTGAGTGTGCTCAAAAAGTTAATAAGCATCATCGGTAGTAATGTTATCGATAATAAACAGCAACAGTGATGATGTGTGCTATGCGTGTCCAAAAGGGTAAGTGAGCGTTCGTGAGCGCGCGGATCCCGGCCGAGATACTCACCGGGTATTCTGGCACGAGGTTGGGAGCCAGCACCCATGAGCAGCTGGGGTAGCAACTCTCCGCCGAGGGCGATCGACGCCGCGTCCAGGTTGGCGTCGCCGGTCGGAAGATTCGGGTTGGTGTAGTCCCGCGACTTGTCGTTGTTGTACTTCACATTGAGGTTCTGCATCTTGCTGTAGTCGATGCGCAGCGTGCAGCAGGAGTTGTAGATGTTCTGCCCGTCGAGCGACTGCGCAAAAAAACAGAAACATCGCGGATTTCTCCCTCGTGACTTCGGCTGCGGGCAGGGTGCGCGCGTTCGTCATGCGCTCGTAAGCAACGAAACACTTGTTATCGCGGAGGGAAGAAGGGGGGTGAGAGATGGTAGACAGAAGAAAGGTTAAATATGACGGCGACATTCGCTTCGGGATGCATAGAGAGTCCGGGGGAAGTCTCGTCGAGAAACGACTTTACGTTTCGACGACGATGTCGATCAGGTCGACGCCAGACAGAAGACACGTAGAAAATTACGGCGGTAGAATTCGCTCGCGAATCACCCAGGTATGTCGAGCGAGGTGATCTCGAGGAGGGAGAACTGCACGGGGAAAAAGATGGTGGTTCGTTTGACTGGGAAAGGACCAGACGAAAATTCTGATGACGGGACGCGACGGGACCTCCGCGTTTTACCGCTTCAGCGGCAACATTCACCTGAAGACGTCCTCGGCTGTATGTTGGAACCCGGTTGGGGAAACTGAAAACAATGGACCGATGGACGGAAAACTCCTCCGCGGAAATCCTCCCTCACAACCGAGTTGTCCATTTGCCCTCCGCTCACCCCGGGCAGAGAGGGATGGGGGGAGGGGGAGGGGGGCAATTCAGTTACTCCGACGGAATTGTTTCGTCCGTGTAAGAAACGACAAGGAAACGGAAAAAAGGACAGCGACGCCGAGAGCGCGTGTCCGACAGATCCGGGTGGAACCAGACGCGGGCGGGAAAGGAGAGTACCGCGAAATGCACAGGTCGTCGCAGGTCATCCGTGGCCTCCAGTCTCGTCCGATTGAACGACCAACCGACCGAACGAACGGTCGATCGTCGGGGAGCCGCGGCGCGGCGTACATTGTGCGACGACGCGCGCGTCTGTGTGGCCGCGCTCGCTCTCAATATTTACACGGGCTAATGAATTTCGTACATAATTACCGTGCGCCGGCCCGCGCCGCGAGCCTCAGGCGTGCGCGCAGGCCGCTGTGCTGCAGCCTCTCTCGTGCGGCTCCTCGGGCGGTTTACTCACGGCCGAGAGAGCACCGGTTGCATAATCGACGACCGAGGCGTCGATTATGTCTCGGCGCATTCGGCCCGACGTTTTTCCCTTGCATGCGGATTTCGGCTATCAGACGTCGCATCTAGCCGCTTGCGAGCATGCAGCTCGCAATCAGTCCCGTCCGCGCTTCGGGAACTTGGGCGGAAAAAAATCAGTCGTCTGTCTCGCAAGCGAACTCGCGCGTCGAGAGAGAACGAAAAAAAAAAAGAAGAAAAAGGCAAACGAAGGGAGGAAGATTCGAGATGTGCGGGGAGAGAGAGAGAGAGAGAGAGAGAGAGAGAGAGAAAGAGAGAGAGAGAGAAAAGAGGAGCAATACCTACCTACACTCCCGCTCCGTCCCTCTCTCTTTGTTTCTCTGTCCGCCCTCCCTTTCTCTTTCGCTCGTGTGCAACAAAGCTAAATGAATTTTGTGACTTGCGCGCGCGTAGCAGGGTGGTGGTGGTGGTGGTGGTGGTGGTGGTGGTTTGCGGCAAAACGGTGTATTTCAAGCGAATTAATTCTCCCTTTGATCACCGCGCGGGTTTACCAGTTCGCGGCGCCGGACTTGCGCCGGGGGTGGTGAGAGAGCGGGCGGAAAGCGGAACGCAAGGCTAGGGGGTGGTTTGAAGAAGAGGGCGGGTGGGATTCGCCGGGCGCGGCGAGTTGCGGTGCGCGCGGTTCCCGATGGATTGCGCGCTCGCGACGCGGCCCGTCGCATTGACGACGTGGAACGCCCGGCCTGGTCCGGCCGCGCGATTGATCTCGAGAATGCGAGAGGCGTCTCGCGCCAAGTGGAATCGCGAAATCGGCGAACTGCGAAGCGCGTACGCTTCCGTACGCTTCCCCGCGCGGCCGCCTGTTGACCTTTCCAGTGCCCTGTGCGTGCACCTCCCCTCGGTCGCGCTGTGCAACGTCCTAGGATGTTGTGCGACGTCTCTCCGACGTGGCACTCTCTTCTTCTTTCCGAACGGGGAATTAGTACGGAGAGCACTCTGCGTTCGGGAACAGCGTGTGTAGCAGCGCCGCGTCGCACACTAAATCCTCACAGGGGAGTTACTCGGTACCGCAAACACACACATAAAATGGCGGAGTTGGCTGGGGACGGGGGAGGCGGGGGAGGGGGGGGGGAAGCCGAGTGTAAATCACAAGTATGTACAACGGGTGCCATCCGAGAGAAACAGAAATGAAGCCACAATTAATGTACAGTATTTACAGCCGGGGCTTTGAAAGGGTTAATTTAGGCGCGCTCGCGCTCCGCGCGCGGGGTTGAATTATTCCGGATACTTCCTGTTTGCAGGAGCTATGACCAGTAGTCGTACGTAATTTCTATAATATGTCGCGAGTCCGCCGAAATGCGTTCGCGCGGCACGGCACGCCGCGACGCGGAATTAATCACGCGGGGCTTCGCAGCGAACGACCTCGTTTTATATTCGCAATGAAAAAGTTTCCGCTGTATTCCCGCCGTTCTACGGTCTCTTTTGGTCCCCGAGAGTCAAACCGGATTCAACGACGCTCGCATGCGCCGCTTCACCGTGCAAATTAGTTGCGTCATCCGTAATGGCAAAAGTTCCGAGTGGGAAAAAACCGCACAAACACGCGCATCTTTCACTCTCACGGCGCGACGCGATATTCGTCGAAAAGATGGCAGAATAAGAAGACGACTCGGAAAAGACGAGAGCGGAACAGGGACACGTGGCACACTTCAATTCACCGCAGCACGGGCGAGACGATTACGGCTGGATTGAGGCGGGAGGAGAAGAAGGATCACAAGTGAGAGACAAGATTTGCAATGTGCAGAGACAAGTGATGGTACCTTAAGCAGCGGCAAGTTTAATTCTACGGCTTTCTCAACCTCCTTAAAGAAAAAGAGAAAAGTAGAAGTGGTTATATCGTCGGAACGTGTGGATGCGCTGCGATTGTTGCACGCGGTCGGACGACCGCGGTAATTACAAAGTGAAGACGCGTAATCATCGTTGTCGAGCAGACGGTCTACGGAGCGAGCGAAGTCTACGATGTTCAGCGACGTATTCGCGAGAAACGAAGCGGGAATAACGATCGTTCGCACATCTGCGGTCCGGCGCGCGCCTTGAGAATTAATTTGGTTTGTAAGAACGGCCGATATTAAATCGGGTAAAATACCGTCGGCACGTCGGTTTTCTTCTTCATTTCTCCCTCCCCCCTCACTCCCTCACTCACTCTCTCTCTCTCTCTCCCGCTGCGCGCGTCCGATTTCTTTTTTCCGCCGCCATCAATCTTCCGATTACATTCATCGAGCTCACTTCCGGCAATTAACCGTCGCTCTGCGCCTTTCTTCGGCGCCGAGGGAGGAGAGATTGTGTGTGACGAGCTCGAAAAATATTCTCCCGTCGCGAGATGCTTCGCGAAAAATTTCGATCTGTCCCGCGGGAACGCGGCGGATAAGCAGCACCGTCCGCACGGAAGAAAGAAGCTGAAAAAAGAAACGAGCGAAACAGGGGATCGGAAGAAAGGGGAAAGAAGATGAGCAGGAGGAGGAGGAGGAGGAGGAGGAGGAGGAGGAGGAGGAGGAGAAGGAGGAGGAGGAGGAGGAGGAGAAGGAGGAGGAGGAGGAGGAGGAGGAGGAGGAGGAGGAGCAGGAGGCGAGGAGAATAACGGACGCGCTGATGGCGGAAGAAAGAAATAAAACGAGCGGGAGGGCGTAGGCGGCGCGGGTGGAAGAAAAGCCAAGTGGATACTTACGTATTTAGCGGTCTGCGCCGACAGCATGTCCGCATACTGTATTAGTGCCTGGAAGGAGCCTGAAACAGAGAAGCGATAAAAGTAAACGTGAAACGACGTTGTTCGGCGTGAATTTTAAGGAGGCTCGCTTCGCGCGCGAGATCACGGAGAACTGATCGCGGTGAGATCATTGCGAACATTTTATTCGTTTACTCATACTTAATTACTATTATACTTAATTAATATTAACGTGTATATACGTGAGAGCCTCAGGCGACGTAGTGGGATCGCGCTATTAGCGACGGTAACGCTGAATTATTTGGCAGCGAGACAGAGATGTCTCTCCACTTTCCTCTTTATCTTCTCGCGATGCTACGACCTTTTTTGTTATGGCCGCGTTAGGCGCGAATTGTTGGCTCGCTTAATGACGCGTTCGCCTCAAACGGCAGTTGATTTCGCGCGAACTCGCCGTGTGAAGCGTTAGTTAAACAGGCAAAAGCGTTGACCAACTAAGTCACCTCTCGCTAACTTTCTGGCCGCGCGCGGGGTGCTGCTCCCGGCTTGGCCGGGATCTTTTCTGCCGCGCGCCAAGTTCACAAACGTTGAAAATTGCATCGTAACGAAGGGCCGGTTGAAAAAAGAAAAACAGAAAAAAGAAAGTAGCGCGGAAATACAGCTCGAACGAGGAGGAAAAGAACGCGGAATGAAAGCGACGACCATTACCGCGCGTGGAAGATGCGTGGGAGATGTAAGTCGGCTGATCAGGGGTTGCATTTTGTTTTTTCAACAAGTTTCGTAACGCATCTCGTATCCGGAAGAATGTATTCACTTTTGACATGACTCCTATTGGATATACGACACGTTGCGAAAGTCGTCGAAAAAAAAGTGTCGCGAGCTTTCATCAGCTGACGACCCTCGGGGGCGGGGGCGGGGGCGGGGAAGCTCGTTTCGGCGAAACGGCGAAACGAAATTTCGATCTACGAGAGCGCGCGCGTTTAAGCGCGCGCGTGCCCGAAACATCCCCGATGATTCGTTAATTTGGCACGCGAGCGTTGCGGAGCAGCTAATTCTGTCACGTTAATGCGTTTTGCCCCGCGCCGGGCAAAGCCGGAATTGTGTCCCGTCAGCGATGTTGACCAAAGTTCCAGCCGGCGGCCGCGCGCTATTTCATTTTCGAATTTGCTCCGCCGTGATAATGGAACTCTTTACGGTAATACAGTAAAGCCCGAACGCGCGTTGCACACCGTCGCGCGGTTCCGCGCGCTCTCGACTTCGCTCTCTTTTATTCACCGTGGCTCCAGAAAATCCCCCGTGTCGTACCCCTCCTCCTCCTCCTCCTCCCCCTATTCTGCGTGCGCACGGATTAATTCCGCTCTCGTGCGAATTGAAAGAAATACTCGGTCAAATTTGTCATGCAGATACGCGGTACAATCGATTATGCCGAATGTTGTTAAAACCTTATGCCGCTTCAATAAGATATTCAAGAAATTTAGCACACGCTGACCGTTCGCCGAAATTACACCGCCGCGGATTTATCCCTTTTCCTCTCGTTTCCTCCCTTCCTCCTCTCTGTCTCTCTTTCTCTCTCGGCGGGCCGAATTCGTATATATTTCACGCATCGGCGAATCCATTTTTCCGAAATGCCGCCGAAAGTAGAGACTGAATATGCAGCGCGGGACGAATTGTTTATCTCAATTTCGAACGCAACTCGTTGACGTACAATTGACGTTCCGAGTGAAAACGACGAAATTGACATTTAATTGCCATTTGCGAGCGCTAATTTCATGTCCGTGGCGAGTGAGCGAGCAAACGTACGTACGTACGAATGTACGAACGAACGAAGGGCGAGCGAACGAGCGTGCGAATGAATATGTTATGAGCCGTGTGACAAATATGCTCCAATTCCGCTTGTCGCGCGATACGGCGCGCGAAGATAAACAATTACGAAGAAGGCAAACGTAAAACAGCCGGCGCTGGAGCGGCGGTCGTTTCGGCGGAGTTAATATTTTAGAACGCGCGCGCGCTTTTCCCCGCGTCTACACCGCGTTGTGCCGCGGTCGGTTTTATAATTGCCATTAAATCTCGATTAAACGAAATGTCGCAAGTCGCAGGCGGCTGCAATTTCGCGACTTTTAATTCCCGTCCAGCCGAATTCGCGCAGCAACTTCGAACGAGCGCGACGCGCGGCGATATTTCATTAGTTAAAACGCGCACGATACGAAACAAAGGATTGGCCCGCGGTCATGTTATTTAATTTTCAAATCTGAAAAGCGGAGGCAAAGAAGAGAGCTCTCGTTCTCTCTCGGTTTCACTCGCCCCCCCCATCCCCCTTCTCTCTCTCTCTCTGCCTATCCCGACGAAAGCTGTGAATTTCGAACGTCGAGAGAAAGAAACGCGACGGCGCTTTTGATCCCACGACAATCGCAACCGGCGGAACGAATAATCGTAATGATAATGTTTATCTTTGCCATAAATTTCACCGACCGCCTCGGTGACTGCGCGCGCGAATTTTCGTCGGAAAGTTGCTTTCTGTCCTCCTCTCCCCACCCTCCCCCTCCCTCTCACTCCATCGTCTCTTTTTTCATCACGAGCTCTCCTGCTTGAAACGCAAAGTCCATTGTAAGCCGGAATAATACGTTGAAGCGACGGTAAATTCGCTTTTGTGCCATTTAAAGCGCCGGTAATTCGCTCTTGTACTATTTACGGCGCCGGTGATCTGCTTTGCGTTGTTTAAAGGGTAATTGAAATATCATTTGGAATTTCCGCGCAGTCCACGCCGCGATTCTCGATGCGACGGATAATATCGCGCGCGTGTAACGCGCCCCGTCGTCTCTGTCAGTGAACCGCGGGATGTTTTGTCGTGTCGCGCGAAACTCGACTGCTTTCTCGCGTTGCTCGTGAGGGAGCGAGAGGGCCAGCNGGGGAGAGGAAGAGAGAGAGAGAGAGAGAGAGAGAGAGAGAGAGAGAGAGAGAGAGAGAGAGAGAGAGAGAGAGAGAGAGAGAGAGAGAGAGAGAGAGAGAGAGAGAGAGAGAGCGAGCGAGCACGCGTTATCCCTGTATTCTCGGTGGGACGCACTCTCATCAAGATTTTTCGGACGCAACACGAATCTTCCCGGCAATCTTCGCGGATGTTGACACCGGCGAGGACCCGAATGCAAGTGTGCGCAACCGCGCGGACCGCGTCGCTCGTTGCGCACCGACGTGCAGAGAGCAACGTTACACAGTTGCGCACACGCGCGCACTTACACTAAATCGAAAGTGCACGCGCGCGCGCGCGGAGACTGGAGAGGACGATGCTTTCGCGCTCATCTACCGTAGGCATGAATTCGTAACGCGCCCTCCGGGAGCACGCCGGAGGCCTCTCTTTGTGTTTTTTGCATAACGGGCGCAACGGGAAATTGCGTACGCTCTGTTATTCGATTCTTCACTCGCGATTCTGATTGAGAATGCACTCCGCTGCGAGAGAGAGAGAGAGAGAGAGAGAGAGAGAGAGAGAGAGAGGGGAAAAAGCGCGTTGTTTTCCGAAATCTTCAGATCTCGCTCCGGCGAGTCTCTCTCACCGCGTGAATGCGAGAATGTGCGTTCCACCGTTTTCGTTGTGCGCTGACGGAATTCAATCCTCCTCCGCCCCCGGCGCGGCGGTAAGAGAGCGCGTGGACTATAATTTTTTTTAGTTTCTCTTGACCTCGTCGTCAATAAAGCGTTTTATATCGCGAAATGCCTCTCATTTTCCGCCGAGAGCGACTTTCGTGCATATCAATGCGCGATTACTTCGTCAGAAAGAGCAGCGCACGATAATGCTTCGTGCGTAAGTGCGCTCTCGTGGAGAGGTACTCTCTGCCTGCATGGCAGGTACTTGTCGTATTGAAAAGAAGGTCAAGATAGAGCAAAGAGAGGACGACGGCGGCCAGATGTACAAATTACTCGCGCGGGCAACCGGCCAATCTGTCTTATTCCGACCAACGAAAGCGTCATCGCCGGCGAATCCACGCACGCGCTCGTGTAACGCGTAAAACGATCTCGTTTCGGTGCGATTATTTCGGAGACATCCTTTGTGGCGCGCTCGCGAGCGCGATTCCGAAAGTACTAACGGCGCCAAGTGCGCGCAACAAGGACGGCAGGCCCAGGCACAGGATGCACTTGGAGCAGCACTCTGAAGTACTAAAGTGCCGTGGCGTGTCTGCCGGCGAGAAAGAGAGAGAGAGAGAGAGAGAGAGAGAGAGAGAGAGAAAAAGAGAGAGAGAGAGAGAGAGAGAGAGAGAGAGAGAGAGAGAGAGAGAGAGAGAGAGAGAGAGAGAGAGAGGGCAAGCAAAGAATCTATAACTCGCGAGAGCGCCCCGCTTTGCTCCCTCGTTCTCTCCCTTTGGCGTGTATCGGATTCTAAGGTGCTCGTGTGACACGACGATACGTTCAATGCTGTACTTACTGTTCTTCGTGAAGGTGACGATCTTGAGAACCTTGCCGAAGCGCGTGAAAATCTGCAACAGAAAGAACAAAGAAGACCGGATTAGAGATGGGCAGCACGGGAGAGTTCTCTCGCTCCTTTCTCTCGCGTCGCGGACTGCTCGCGACTTTTCCAAGCGCTGCAAAATTGGGCGCGCGATCGTTACGTGCAAAGAAAAGAAGGACAGCTCCCAATTTGCCAAATTCCGATTATAGAAATCAGCCAGAGACAACAGTCACATCTTTTCCGAACGAACCCGTAGTTCAGGGGTGTCCGACCTGCTGCAGGGTCTTATGTATTTCGTACGTTTATCTGCCAGACAGGAGTGAACGCGTGTCAGCGGTGCGGCGGTGTGGCGCGAGCAACGTTCTAAAAAATGGACTCGCGACAAACAGATGCGTGGGCGGGCGTATAATGGCATTTTCGTATAAATACCGACGATATTCAAAGCGGCCGGGCCGGGCGATGGCGCATGAATTTTCAAAAGCCCCTTTGGCGAATAACGGCGGCGGCGAGCCGGCAGTATCACGCAATATTTACAGGCGTATCCGGTGTCGAGCCGGCGGCCTAATAATCGGGCACGGCGCACACGTCAAACCGCCGTCATTGTCATACATTCGGCCGGCAATGCCGATGATCACATTAATGCCGCGAATGCAAATATTTGCCGCCGCCGCCGCCGGTAGCCGTTGCATTTCGCGACGATCAACCAGCTCCGAGGCAGCAACGCGGAAGTTTGGGGATTAACGGCGATTGCATAAGATTTCGTCGCCGATCGAACGTCCATATTTCTCGCTTCTTTATGCGAAGAAATGAATCAATCAAAAGAAACGTCGCTCGCGTTGCGAACTGCACGTGCGCGCTGCCGCGGCTTCCGCGGCGATTAACATTTTTTTGAAGCACGGGTCGTGTGCAACATCCAGAGGGTGACAGAGAAAAAGAGAGAGAGAGAGAGAGAGGCGGGGGGGAGGGATAGAGCGGAGTTATTCCGCGGCGCGCGAGATCGCCGAAAGAATGGAGGATCCGTCGAGTAAATACGTAAAAGCTCGTAAAAGCGCGACCGCGCTTACGAGGAGAAATGAAAAATTTCCGAGAGACAGAGAAGCCGAGAGGAGGAAAAACAGGCTAATGCGAGCCGCTGCCATGTGCGTTTTAGCGATCGAATATTCAATGTCGCAGCCGGTCGTCGTCGTCGTCGTCGTCGTCGTCGTCGACGACGTCATTTGCGGACGCTAACGCGGTCTCGAACGGGGCAGTTATATTTCCAACTAATGCGACCGACTGATCGGGATAACATTGAAGATACAAGGACGCGTTGGTCATTACGAGGAGGGAAGCAGCGAGATAAATTGATAGATAGATAGATAGATAGCTGTTGCTGTCCCAGCTGTCACTCCCCGTCTGTTCAATATACTCTCATAATTACAAATTGCTGTAAAATTGATGTATTTATATAATAACATCCAATAAAGGTAACAATAACAATAACAATAATAACAATAATAATAATAATAATAATAAAATACACAAATGTGTTCATTATCGCGCGGACGTTTGCCGATGCGCGTGTATTTGTCGCACACGGGCAAATGAGAATACAGCCCCGGCGTGCAATAACAAATAAAATTCCACGCTCAAAAGGCGCACGGTGCGCGCGCGCGAGAGAGAGAGAGAGAGAGAGAGCGGCTCGGAAGAATGAGAAGTGCGCGCTCGCGCGCTCGCACGGCGGGCTTTGGGCCACGCTTCCGTAATTAGTGGACTCCAGAGAGAAAAGACGTATGCGAGCGTGCTGCATTCGCGATGCACGCGCATCAGCCGGGACAAAGACTCCTCTTCGCGTGTCAGCGGCGCGACGAGGCTCCAACCGGGACGAGGCTGCGGCATTTTTGCTCTACCTCACCTTTTTCCTCTTTCCCTTTCTCAAACGCGTTTCCCGATACAACGCGCAGCGCGTGCCGATAACGATCGGGGACGCGGCATACGGTAACAACTACTAGCTCTGGCCGTGCCGCGAGGATTTTTCGACCGGGAGGATCTTGAAAATCGCGCGCGTTACCGGGAACTCGGCCGGGCTCGGCCGCAAACAAACGCGAACGGCCGCGCGGTCATTGCAGGCTGTATTAAAGCGGCGCCAATAACAGTAAAAATCAGCGCTCCTCCGCTCCAAGTAGATCCTCATTATCGTTACGTTTACGCCGCGCCCGGGGCAATGAGGATAATTTTTACGGTAATTGCGCGGCCAGATTCGAAGCTCTCGCTAGCGTCGAGTAACGCCGATCGCGCGAAGCCGTCGATGCGTCTGTCGGCTTACGCCGCGCGCACGTTTGCGCGATGCAATCGCAGTCTTTTCTCCCTGGAATTTCGCGTTTGCGCGATCGTCCGCGGGCTTAACGTTATCCTGCACAGTGACGGAAAGAGAAACCTAGATCGCATATATGGAGCCAACCGGCGATCAACCGGCGATATCACCGAGCGCATTCGCGCGAGAAGATATCTCGACCTTTCGTCAAATTCGCGAGACGCCAATCGAGCGCGTTTCGCGCCCTCGCTGACTCACGTGAGCGTTGAATCGTCGCGTCATCGCGGCCGCTGCCGTTACTCCGGGAAATTGGAAACCGTGAGTGAATTAAAAGTAGATGGTAGATCGTTCGCGCGCGTCCGACGCGCGTACGGCCGAGCATCGCGGAGGGAGGAAGGCGATAACAATGATAATGTTTAGAATATATGGATTACGGTTTCATCCATTACGTCCATATGTCCGCGGCGTCCATTACAGCCGCAAGACTGCTCGTAATAGCTCCGCTCGACTATTCGCATTTCTATCACTCTCTCTCTCTCTCTCTCTCTCTCTCTCTCTCTCTCTCTCGCCTCTCACGTTGCAGCTGCCAGCGCAGCTACAAGCGCGCGCGCGTTCGCGTTTCCCGGAGCAGTAACGGTGCGCGCTATTTACAACGCGTAATGCGAAAAGCAGCGACGGCAAGAGTAGCGCGCAGCGGAGGGCCGGGGTCGGCGTATGTTTATATCCGTTTTCCGATAAAACGGGAAATATTTCAATTTTGATATTCGAATTTTTGCCGCTCATGTTTCCGGCTCGTGGATGCATGCGTCCGACCGAAAACAGTTCGATCGCGAGCGGATATGAAGTCGCGATGCCGTCCGTATTTACCAGAAGCTGCGCGCCCGCGCGCCAATGAACGAATGGATCGGCCGATAATCGCGCGCGATCGCGAAAACGCGACTGGAGATCATCCCGGACGGCGCGATTCTCGTCGCGGTAGTGCCGCGCGCACGCGGCCCTCCGGCTTTTCGCTACTCGCTCTACTCGATTTTGACTTCGCTCGCGAAGTCGCAGTCGCGGTTGTGACCGGCGCGACGACGAATTCGAGCCGCGCGCAATTTTCGGCTGAGGGAAAAGCTCCGAGTTTGCGGCTTTCGGAAGTGAAATTTGCAAAAATGCTCATCATTCGAGCGAACCCCTTTCCTCCCTGTACGAAGTCGCCGCCAGACGATCAGATTTCCACTCGGGCTTGACCGTCAATGTCCAGCTCTAACGTTGGAAATGTCGAGATTATCAAATATTCCTTATCCGCTGATGCGCTCTTAGAGAAGTATATTTCTCCATCCGCAAACTACATTTCCAATTTTATCTACTTTCGAAAGTCTGCAGGTTTCTGCAATCTTCAATCCTGACGCGAGAAGAATAACCTTGGATTCCCGCCGCGCCCTCTCCCCTTCGTTACATCCGCGTACGATTTCGTTTCGCAAACGATCACTTCGTTTCATTAATCCCTCTATGGTGATCAGAATCCCCGTAACGGAAACAACAATCAATGCCGACGATCAATGCAAATCGGCCCCGCTCGATCGATGCCGAACAACGCGACCGGAAACTCCCTACCATTCTACGGCGGCACCCGCGCGTACGCGCTCTCGCGCAATGGCCAAACATATTATACAATAAAATTAATTAAACCGGCATTTAATTAATTACTCGAAATCTGACAAATTCTCCGCCAACCGCGCGGCGCAAATCGTCCCTGCGCGAATTTCTCCGAAATTCGAGCTCGCCGGCCGGCCGGCCGACGTTTATTATCGACACAGTCGATGCATTCCGCGATTGCCGCCGCCGAATGTACACAAACTTCCGTCCGTTATTCCACCGTTATTCCCCCTACACCGCTATTTGCGTTAGCCTCCTGGTGTTATTAGGGACCGAGGCGAGAATCTTGCTCGACCGTTATTATTTTACGACGTATTACACAACGCGTGTGCGCGCGCACGCACACACACACACACACGTGCGACTGAAATTACGTCAGTCAGTTGTTACGTCGGTTATCACCGAATGGCGTAACGTCCGTGCAATCTCGACCTAATCAACAAGTACCCGGCGCGACTGCGGAAATTTTATTCCGCCACGTTTCGAGCTGTCGCTCGGCATTCGGAGCTTCGGAAAATATCGACGGCGTATAACACGCTAGCCGCGTTACCTCCAAGCGCGCACCTCTCTCCACGGCTCCATACCCGTCTGGTTTTATTTCAGCAAGGAAATATTCCGCGACGAGAGAGAGAGAGAGTGAGTGAGCGCATACCGGGGACGGGGAAGGGGAGAGCGAGAACGCGTCAAGCTCCGGCGGAGCTTTGAGGAAACGATCGATATAGTGTATCGGGCGTCCTCGCAATACTCGAAACTGCTGCGCAACGAATGGATTAAAGCAATCTGCTTTCGCGCCCGGACGACGGATAAACGGCAGCCGAGGACGCGCCGCTCGTGTCGCGACATGTAAATAAACGGAATCAGCGAGGATACGGGAGGATCGACCGGGGAAAATCGGGTGATAAGCCGGCACACTTCCGGCACACTCGCGAGGCCGGTTCCGAGAAAATCAGCATGCCGGGAGAGTGCCGTGCCGGAACCAAAGTGGGACGAATCAGTCAAGCGCGAGCTCGCATCATTCGCCGCGAAAGTTTTAATGAGGCTCGAATGAAGCGAATGCCGGGCCGCGCGCGACGGTTTCTTTCGCTGGCGGCGTC